GAGAGATTTAATTTTCCACCCAACCGCGCTAGCGCTCTTGTTGTCTCTTGTTAGTTTCTGGCCAGTTGATATTTCCCGTAGTATCGCATTATGGTCACTGGCTGTGTCGATGTTCAATACTTTCCAAGAGAAACCTCTTCGGGCTAAGCAACTGCTGATAAATGTGAGGTCGACAATTGAGCTTGCCTCTCCCTTGGTATAGGTTGGCATGTCACCGGTGTTAAGAAGGATCACATTCAGTGTGGCCATTGCCTCGAGAAGTGCTTTTCCACGTGTATTAGTGAACTTGCTGTCCCAGTCTGCTGCCCAGGAATTGAAGTCACTAGCTATTGCCACGGGAAAGTGTTTTCTTGCGTCCTCAGTTAGCCGATCAAGGAAGTCTTCAAACTGTTTATTAGAGAGACTAGGTGGTGCATAGCAACTGTAGATGCGGAGGCCATCTACCCATGCTGCTAGGAAGCCGGCTTCTTTGTTGTTGGCTGTTCTTTGAAAAGGACATTTACCGCAGGACCAGTTGACGGCTTTGTTAGTGCTGTCGGATTTCCAGGGTTGATTACTCAAGTGTCTATAAGGCCTACTTATAAGTGCTACGTCTGCCTCTAGTTCGCGCACAGTTTGCATGAGCAGGTTATGCGCAGCCTCACAATGATTGAGATTGAGGTGCAATATCTTCATGTTCTTGGCTTTGTTATCTTCTGGAGCGCTTTTTGGAAGACGGGGCATCTATTCGAGCCTGCATGGTGGGTCGCCTTTTCTACGCCGTGCCGTTCAACGCACAGTGCACATTCAGCTGGATTTTTACAATCAGCAATTTTGTGTCCTTCTTTTCCGCACCTTATGCAGTGATGAGACCGGTTGACTTCGCTTTTGCACTGAGATCCGATGTGCCCAAAGTGCCAGCATTTGAAGCATTGTATGGGTCTCTCCGTTGCTCTCATTCGGCAATTCGACCAGCCTATCCTTATTTTGCAGTTTCCCTCCAGTAACTTTTGTGCTGCAGCTGCTGGTAGTGACACTGTGGCTGTCTGTGTACCCCTAAAGGCTTTACGGATCTTGATTGCCTCTAGTGGGATTTCACAACTTTCTCCAGCTTCCCTCTTTAGAGCGGTCTGAATATGCTCTTTCGTCGTGTCATCATCGACATCTCGGATCTCGATAGTCTCCTGTGGCCCTTTGCAAATCACTTTGGCCTCCTCCTTAAGGATGTCCGCGATCGTCTTTTGCAGACCTTGGCCTTTGTCAGTGCTCTTCCTCGAAATCGTAATCAACAAGTCTCCACTTCTGGTCTTGTTGATCTTATCCACAGTTGAACGAACCTGCTCATCTGGGACGTCCTGCTTTATGCGACGCAGAATCTCGGCATACTTTGTTTTCTCGGCCGGGCGGATGATCAGTGCGTCGGGTCTGATCCATTTGCGTGGTTTTTTCCGCTTAGGCTCTGGCCTGGGCTCCTTCGGCGGCTGCTTTGAGAGTTGCTCTCTAGCTAGCCTTCTCTTCTCCTTCTTAGACTATACTTTTTCCCAGTCAGTCGTCTTCTTGGTTTCGTCGCCCTGCCCTGCCAGTTGGTGGGGAGGGCTTTTTTTCAGGTCCTTCTTCTTTGTAACTTTGTCGGTTGGCTCTGGCGAATCTCGGTCCTTTCTCTTTCCAGACCTTGTGTCAGTTTCACCCTGGTCCTCAGCAGCAGATTCACCGTCACCGTCGGCTCCAGTGTCCATTGCTTCTTCCGTCTCAACTTCGGTTTCAATGCGGCGTCGTGATGACTGCCATTCCTCGTCCAGTTTCTTGAATCTTCCAAGAGCATTGACTACACCGGTTGTCTTGATCTTTATCTCCTTGTGGATATTGACCTTAGTTTGGACAAACTCTTGTAGCTCAATGGTCAGCTTTTTAAGGCGCTCCAACGCTTGCGTTCTCTTCATTTCAGCGCTTGCTTCAATCGCTGCTTGTTGGGCATGAAGCCCGTTTCTATTCTTGTTTGTTTCCTGTAAATTACTCATACTTTTTGATTCACCAGCGCATCGTACGGAGTGGAGCGGGTTGTCATAATTAGGAACGGGTGTACCCTCGGAGATAGTACTCCTACCCCAGTTCCCTGAGGCCTAGCCGACACTTAGCCAGTCCCGGAATACACGGACGGACTAGACTCGCTCGGGGCGGTGAAGATTCCGATCTCTAACACTCACTGCGTACTTCCTGATCAAGGCCCGAAGTGACTGGCTCCTGATCCACTACTGCAACTTACACCTCGGCAGAGCAAGCTCACATCAGCCGTGGCCTGCATCGTCGGAAACTACGTTACAGGTTCCGGACACTCCCAGTGAGTTACAGCAGGGACCGATCGTCTTGTTAGGTCAGTTAGTGTGACCAACCCATTAAAGGGGAGTTTTGTCCACGGGAGCGTATTTTATTCAACTCCTACCCTCTGTACCTCATCAACTAAGAGATTATCCAAGTGTCATCCAAGGACAGCGAGCGTTCTCCCATCCGCTCGGGGAGACGCGCCCGGTAGCAGTATCTCTTCTGCCCCGAGTGTGTGTGTGTGTGTGTGTGTGTGTGTGTGTATGTATGTGATCCTCTTATAACTTTTGAACGGTTTGACCGATTTCATCGCAGTTGACGCCATTCGAAAGGGCTTGACCAAACTTAGACATTGAATACACTTTGGACCGATTCGAACCGGTAGATTTTGGGAAATCTCAAAAAAACTACAAAAAAAATTTTTTGAAATGTGGTTTATTTGGAATTACTTTTAAATGGCTCCACCGATCAATTCCAAAATCTAATCAGCTTTTAAGATAAAAAAAAACCACGTCGATCACCGCAAGCCCGGTCAAAATCGGTTGATTCGTTCGTGAGTTATCGTTGTCGAAAGAAAACCCTGATTTAAAAAAAGTATTGAACCATGCAACTGTATATCTATATTGTATGTATATATAGATATACAGTGTGTGAAAAGTATTGAAAAAGTATTGAATTACATACTTTTTCAATACTTTTCAATACTTTTTTTTAATCAGGGAACCGAAAAAAACCGTGTTTTTCGGAATTAGTTCGAAATTCTTGGCTCGATCGATTTAAAGTTAAAGATTCTTCATGGGGCTTCAAAAACTGCGTCGAATGCCGCCAACCGCGTGAAAATCGGTTCATTCATTCAAAAGATATTGCCGTTTGAAAATTCAAAAAATTGTGTTTTATTAAACTGCTATCAGAGTTTTGAGCTCGAAGAGCTCAAAATGACACAAAAATCACATTTGTGAGCTCGAAGAGCTCAAAAACGTAATGTGTAATTTTGAGCGCTTTAGTACAAAATGAGCGGGAAGTTGCAGGGATGGCCTTTAGGATCACCCGTCGTCCTAATTTTTTTTTGTGTGCCGGTGTTATTTTTAAAAAATTGCATTTTTTATTTTTTGAAATTTCTACATGTCAATTTTTTTTTCTAATTTTTCTTTGCCATAATTTATTTGCTATAAAATTTTAAAAATTCTTAAATTTATGCTAAACTTAATTTTCATTATAAAAAACAAGCAAAATTTGTCAACGAATAAATCTAAATAGTGATATAAATAAAAACATTATTATTATAATGAAAATATAAAGTTAACAACAATCAAACCATGCCGTAGTAATGATTGTCCTAAATTTTTTCAAAAAATCCATACCAAGATTACAAATGTATTCATGAAGAACTCGATACTCTAATATACAAGTATTTTGTCATTTGATGATATATGGAGTTGCCTACATCATTTGGTGCGTATACTTATTTATTTGCAACTGAGATTATTATTACACTATGATTATTTTTTAATTCATCAATACTTAAAGTGGTATGTCATCTTTTAACCGTTAGAGTAACGAACAGAAAGTAATTCCATTAAAAAAAAGTAATTAATTCAGAATCCTTCAAGTATTTATGACAAATAAGTACGAGTAAAATCTTTGTGCAATTGATACTGAAATCAGCAGACATTGAGTCATTTTTTTTTTTAAACCAAATAAATTAGTACCAAGAAAATATTTTAAAAAATTTTCATCCATAGTTTTTCAAAATTTTGACATTTGGAACTTTTCCTTCGATTTTTATTTATAATAATTTGTTTGTTTCAAAAATCATAAATATGTATTTTCGGATTTTTGTTAATTTTAGTTTCATTAGTGCATGCTTGATAGCTCGCTAAATAGCTGTTCTCTTATTCAGCTATTACAACGATTTTTTTTTTTGTTTTAAACAATAATCTTAGAACCAGTTTTTCAATCACGAGTCAAAATAAAATTGTTGCCAGTATACTTATATGTATATACGAAATATATAGCTATATTCTAGCATTGAATAAAATTTTGCCGCGGATTAAAAGACTGTCCCTTGATGAATATGCTGATATACTTGTCCCTTGCAAGTTTACTTCTTTTCATACATACATGGATCATTGTTTAAAAATAAGCAAATGCGAATAACTGAATCCAAGCGAGAAAAGTGAACGCTGAGGTATATTTATAAATCGTTTTCCACTTAAAAAACAGATGAAACAGTCACTACATTCATGCCCGAACTCTATTCACAAGGAAAATTAATAATTTACCCCATTTATAACACAATGTAATGTTAATAAATACTAACATCTGAGGCGGAAAATATTATTGTGTGATTAAATCAATTTTAAACAATTAAATGAAATGAAAAAAAACTTTTTATTTAAATTAGAAAAAACAAATTTTTTATCTTTTTTATCATAGATTTTACATTTTTTAATTATAAAAGGAATCAAGATTAATCTTGATTAAAAACACGTATTAAAAAGTATAGGAAGTAAAGAAATTTGAATTTTTTTCAATATTTCTGAATATTTTCAATACTTTGAAATTCCTTCTCTTGTGGAGAATTAACATTGTCAATCATTCTGAATTCTTTTTTCTAACGTGGGTTACGTGAAAAAGAAAATGTTTTAATGACATTCAAAAATTTATGCCAATTATTTACAGTAATTCATTATTTTCAAAATTTAACGGATCATTCGTTTTTTTTTTCTTCTACCACGGCCAACTAATGCAAAGTCAAAATCATCCAATATCAAGTACTCTTCAGGGAACTCATATTCACTATCTTCGGAATCATCGTTATCTGTAAAAAAAAAAAAAAGATTTTAAATCATCGTTTGTACAAAAAATTTGTTTATAAACAGAGACCAATTTATCTTCAGTGTGCGAGAGTAGGAGTCACGAGCAGTTGAAGTAATCTGAACAGTTTTACGCCGCAATTACGTTCTCGTATTTTTTAACAAAATGGGATGAACAAAACTGTTTTGAATCCGTAGGGATTCAAAACAAGAATAAACCCAAGAGTAGTCTTGGGTTTATTCTATCTCCGGGTGCACACTCAGCACAAATTACTCTCATTAATTTTCTTGTAATTTAATGATTGTAAAAAAATAAATTTTTTCAAAATATAAAATTTATTGGCAATTCTGTTTCGGATTTTTGGAGTCATAATAGAGTTTGATAATATAATTAGAAAGTGAGATATCGATCTTTGAATGCAAACATATTTTCGACCCTAAAAACCTGAATTTTTTACTACCAAAGTAAAAATTGATATGATTAATACTGCCATTATTCATCACTGCAATCACTAATCATTGCTTAAAATTAGAGTATCTCAGAGCTATATTATAAAAAATTTATCATTAAGATTATTGTCATATTATCGCTATTATCTTATTGCATAGCACTGTACTGTATAAAATTATGTATTTTTACCGATGGTCTTGACGGAACTATCGCTCTGAGATCAAATAAATTTATCTATCTATCTATCGATCAACCTACCAAAACTTGAAATGTTTGTTTTCAATTCAGGAATAAATGATTAAATTTCAAAGCGATTGAATGATTTTTTCGCTCGCTAGGTCATTAGTTTATAAAATTTCGTTTAAATGCTTCGCATCATGAGTCGTGCAAAATGAGATTTGTCCAGGAGCTGTATCCATTTGATTCAGCCGAATTGACTAAGCTCTGTGAGCTAAGTAGTTTAAAAGTAATTTCTGAAAAAACCTTTTATATAAATCTTATTTTCGAAATTATTCTAAATTTATTCAAGCGATTAAATCTAATTTTTTGGTAAATTTAGATTTAATAAATTTTTCTTTACTTCCTTAATTTTTTCCAATATCTTCAAGGAAAGAATGAAAACTTGCTTATTTAATTCAATTATCGTACTTTGATCAATCAGTTCAGTAAAAAATTGACTAATATCAATCTTGAATACCATATGGATTTTATAATTGATCTTCAGGCTAAATTAAAAAGTGGTAGTTTAATAAATTTACGTTTAAAATTTTGTACAATAACGGCATTAATCGGGTTTAATATCTCGGGTTAAGAAATTACGATAATTTTATATTCAGTAGATAAGAAATGAAAAAGAAAGTAATTACCTCTTTTCTTACGTAAAACTTCTGCAAATTTACTGTCCAATAAATAACGAAGACCTGGAAAGGCTGTAGACAGATATGATCTGTGCAAAGGCTTTAGTAATCCTAGACAATCCATTTGTAAGGATACAGGAACTGACAAACTTTGTGTGATTCGCATACAACTATTGGCTGCTGTGGATGAAATTATAGGATACAATTCAATACCATATAAACCAGTAAAAGCAATGCCAAAAGGCTTATTATTTATGAAAAACTGTAACGTTCCTTTCCAAGTATCTAGATGAAGTCCAACGACACTGCCTTGCGCAAACGGTTCAGAATAATCCTTTATTTCACCATCATGGTGTATTTTACCTTTGTAGGACAGCCCCCATGATTCCCGGTCTTGTCCCAACAACGATAAAAATTTATCCCTCTCATTAATGTTAACTTTAGCAGTGCCTACACCAACCATCTGAAATTCAATAAATATATTAAAATACATATTCATATCGATCGTAAAAAAGTTAACAGTATATTATGAAGCATGAAATAAAGCAATACAGTTCTAAATGAAGGCGAGTATTGATGTCCGAGTAAAAAGAGAGCTGTCATTGCTCACTGTCACAAATCGCATAAATCGCGCTTGATGATTTCAATTCAACACCATACATGGGTCATTCTATGTCAAATTTTGGTCAAAAGTTTTCTTTTATCATATAACGAAGTTCTGCCAAAGGAAAAAAAATAAAAAAATTTTTTTCAAAAGATATAAAAATTCAAAATTTCACGATTTCTTCAGTTTTTCAATTTTGTTTTTGTAATATCTCGAACGCTATTATAAATACAGGAATGGCATTTCGTTTGTTTGAAAGAGGACACTTGGGGCTATTGAAAAAAATTTTGAAAAATGCCAAATTTATCAAATTTAAAATTTTTGAAAATCGTCAAAAACGACGATCGACATTAAAATTTTGGCTCATTTTTTTTTTTATAATATCTTGTACTGATCTTAAAAGATCCTGAAATTTTTAGAACGGTGTTTTTTGTTTTTTCAAAAATATGAATTTTTGAATTAAAAAAAAAAATTGTTTTTTTTTTGTTTTTTACAACTTCTAAATAATGTAAAGTTATGCAAATACATAGTATTGTAATTTTGAGCATTAAAAAATTAAATGCACGACGTGGAAACATTAAATAATATATCAATTTCAACTTTTTTTTATTTTTTGGACGTAATCTTAAAGTCCGGCTTAACACATGATATAATTTCTTATTTTTTTAATGCATGATATATTTTGTCCGTTGCTTCACTTCAATTACAGTTTTTAACGCCAAATAACTCAAACAGATATTAATTTCCAATAAAAATCAGAAATAATGTGATGAGAATATCAATTTTTTTTCGTTCTTTCAAATATTTGTTTACTTACAAATTTCTGTACATTAATGTTGCTCAATCTCAAATTTCAAATCATTTTCACTTTAATAAGACAAGAAGTGGCGTCACCAACTTTAAATGAAGTAAAAAAAGGACAAATAACAAATTATATCATGTGTTAAGGATGACTTTAAGATTATGTCGAAAAAATAAAAAAAAGTTTAAAAAATATATATCATTTAATATTTCCACGTCGTGCATTTAATTTTTTCTTTATTTAGAAATCGCAAAAAACAAAAAAAAAATTTTTTTTTTTTAATTCAAAAATTCATATTTTTGAAAAAACAAAAAACACAGTTCTAAAAATTTCAGGATCTTTTAAGATCAGTGCAAGGCATTATAAAAAAAAATGAGCCAAAATTTTAATGTCAATCGTCACTTTTGACGATTTTCAAAAATTCTAAATTTGACAAATTTGGCATTCTTCAAAATTTTTTCCAAAATATTTTTTTTTTTTCAACAGTCCCGTGTCCTCTTTTAAACAAACAAAAGGCCATTCCTGTATCTATAATAGCGTTCGAGATATTACAAAAACAAAATTGAAAAACTGCAAAAATCGCGAAATTTTGAATTTGTATATCTTTTGAAAAAAATTTTTTATTTTTTTTCCTTTGGCAGAACTTCGTTATATGATAAAAAAAAACTTCTGACCAAAATTTGTCCAAATCGAAAGGGGTCGATTCCAACTATTGTACGATTTGACATGGAATAACCCACATAAGATATAATGCTACAATATTTTTTTTTTTGCACAAAGCTGGCATTTCTTCTGTTTTTGGTTTGCTATAAAAAGTAATGGTATCACTCTGACATCACATTGACGTATATACTATGACTGTCGTGTGATATCACAATTATGGTTTATAAATTGCGTACATTGAACGTAATATTTACATCACATATACCGTTATAATATTAATAATTGCATTTATTTTTTAATGTTCTCAGTTATTTCTTATAAAATTTATGACTTGAAAGAATACACGGTATGTATATAGAAAAATAAAAAAAAAATTAATTAGTTGAATAATAAAACAATTAAATTCTGTGATTTCTCGAGGACGTTTTTGCAAAAGAATTGTATCAACAATTAAAATAAAATTTAAAATTTAGAATATTATGAGAAAATAGAATTTTTCTTCAAATTTTTATAAGAAAACAAATTTTTTTTATTTTTATTAAAACAAGTAATGTAATAAATAATGTTCTTCAAGTTACGTCAATTATATAATGGCATATAAAAGTAGTATTATCAAAGGTTAGAATTAATTACCGATTAATGTAATCAATGGAAATAAATAATTGTTATAGTGGATTTTAGGCTCTCATCACATGATATCGATGTGTAGATATATCACATAAATATCACACTCACGCCATAGTGATGTTATGAATGTTACGTAGAAAAATTTGAAAAAATAAGCCACTTATAACTCACATTTGAAATATCTTATGTAGCCTGACATTGTGATGTAATTAAAATGTCAAAATAGCATAGAAGTGTTTTCTAAGAGATTAATTTTTTACCAAATAAATATAAATTGAGTTGAAGACTTCTTTAATTAAACAAATTTCATCAGAATAATCAGTTGAAAGTTAATAATTATGAATTTTGCCCGCTTTATTTAGTAAATCATTAAATAAGCAAAAAAACGGTTAAATCTGCAAGTAATTTTTGAATGATTCCGCTAACGTTAAACTCAAAAGACTTGGAAATATATTTTCGGGAACGTATTGATAAATATATTTTCAATAAATTTATCCTTATTTTCATCATGTTTTAAAACTTCAGATTATAAGTCATTAAGATATTATTTTAAGTTCTAACGGAAATTTTTTTATTACCAGCAAATTCGCTTGGTAATTAAAACTTGTTTTCGAGTAAATTCTTTATAGCTTTAGCCTTCTTCAATTTAGTGATTGAGGCAGTGGACTTTCTTCAAAAAAGACCACCACCTCAGAAACATATAATGGCGTCGTAGTAGTGCTTGAAGTTAGATTTAATTTTTCAAGATTTTTCTATTCGACCAAATTGTTTAAATTTTTTGAGTAATCTATATTGAGTAAAACTCTTTCGAATGTTATTCTTTTGAAGGTTGCTCTTTTCGAACTTCATCGTAAAAATAGTTAGAATTCATTCAAGGCTTTTGATTTTGGTATTATATTTTTTGTGCTAAAATATATACAATAGGGTGTGTCAATTTTAGGCGACTTTTTTTTTTCAACGAAAAAACAGGCTCAAAACTTGCATGAAGGTGATAACAGAAGCCTGTTCAAAGCGGAGCTCTTAATATTAATATTTAGAGATGTCTGTCCCTAATTTTCCATTTCCCATTTAAATAACATGGGAAAAAAAATTCTTTTTTTTGTTTATTTTTCTAGCTCGGCATACGCACCTCATATAAATAAGTCCATAGCATATTCTTGTAGAGAATTCAACACTCTACAAAAATAGTAATTTATGTCATATGGCCACAAAGTGGCGATTTTCTGACAACGACGATGTTGCGATATGAGCTTAAGGTTCGTGGCGGGAATGTACGAAAACGGGCGAAATTTACGCTCGTTTTCGTAAATTCGCGTCACAAACTTTAAAGCGAATATCGTAAAATCGTCGTTGTCAAAATCACTACTTAGTGGCCAAATGACATACAATATTTTTTGTTATTATCGCTCCATAAGTTTAACTTTTGAGGGATAGGAGGCAAATAATGACATTCAAATTTTATGAAGTTTCACAAGAGCAAAAAAACTTAATTTTATATTAATCTTTTTATTAATATTTATTTATAACGCGCTTGTTATTTTATTAACATTAGGTCCACTTCGTAATAAACTGTCAGCAGAGAAAGAATTAGCGCCACTCAATAGTAACTAAGTTTAAAATTTACTTAAAATCCATCGGTCAGTACACTAGAATTTGATTTATTTTGTTCTAAATTTCATCCGATTGCACAAGAACAGTACGGAAAAGAAGGGGAAAGTAAACTTTGCGGTCTAGGCCGCGGAAAAAAGGCGGTATGGTAGAGTCTCTAGAAATGAGTATCTTTTCGGACGCCACCCAGCGCTTAAAAGTTGAACTTTTGGAGCGAGTATAACAAAAAGGTCTCTTACACTTTTATCATAGAGACAGCTGTTCTAAAGTTATTCAGACGTAAACTTCTAAATGTATAAAATTTTGATTATTCAAGTATTTAACTGATACAAACTAATTTATTACTGTCGAAAATCGGTTGATTCATTCAAAAGTTATAGCAGTTTGAAAATTAAAAAAATCATGTTTTATCGAACTTTGATAAGACTGGGAATTTAAATTGCACGCATACGCGCGCGCTCTCTGAACGTTATTTCGATACTAAGCTAACTTCAATCTAAATCTCAACCAATAAGGAATCAGGGTCCATGTTTTCGATACTAAGCTAACTTTATTCTACCATCAATTTTAGTATATAGGATTTTTGAGCTCGAAGAGCTCAAAAACGTCATAAGTGCAATTTTAAGCGCCTAAGTATGAAATTAGCGGGAAGTTGCAGGGATGGCCTTCAGGGTCAACCGTTTTTCTAATTTTTTTCTTAAAGTATTTTTGACACAATTGATCCGTCTCCTTCCTACAACGAAATAACGTTTATGTGATACAATAGTACTCTCTGTATGACTGTACTATCTTTGTAAATTTAGATAAAAATAATTCAAGAGTTACAGAGGAAATTAATAAACGGAGCTTAACAAACGTTATCAATTTAACGATCTGCATCAGTATCGCCCCATATTAGTGAATATTCAATATGATAAGTATAATAACAGAATTTTTTAATAAGTTGTATTGATTTATATTTTATAAAAAAAATTTCTTTTTCGACGAAAAAAAATTTGATTGAAAATTGATAATAAAAAGTTGCATAATAAGAAATAGTTGCACATTTTTTCAAATAATTAATAAACTAATTAGACTAACAAACTAACTGTTAATTTTTCAACACCAAACTTTCCTTATGAAATCCTGAAGATTTCAAAGCGCAGCGATGTTTTTTAGTAGATTTAATAGAAATCTAACTATTGTATTTGTCCTCATGGCAGAACTTTCGAAAAATTTTACTATTTTCTGACTCAGTTAGTCGAGCTGATTCAGAAAATACATATGGTTTAAAAGTTTATATATGTATATATTTATAACGCGGCTTGTCCGGACGATAGCGTCTCTAATTCATAATGGATCTTCTCCAAACTCGACATACTTGGACACTGCTATGCATTAATGTGTTAAGTGCTATGAAAATTCTATGTACTTAACACACTATTGCATAAGGTAAAAGTCCCTATTATGAGACGATGTCCCCATTTATGATACACTACATAAAAATACTATTTTATAAAAAAAAAACACACCGCTAGCATACCAAAAGTATAATAAATATATTATTTCATCTATTCCAAAAGCAATTTTCGACTTTGGTTGTTAATTAATTCCATACTGTTTTTTAAAATATTTATTAAAGTGCGAGGTTTGTTATCTGTGCTCAAAGCCACAACCGAGAATAGTAAAACGACAACGGCTACCTAGTTTTTTATATTAGTGTAATTTCATTGTGTCTTCTACTTTTATATTAAATTGTATATCAATTGAAACATCAACTCAAAAAGCCAGAAAGGGTCGTGTACGCAGTAAGACGGCAATTTATACTGATACACCTGAGAAATTTGAAATAGAAGTTAGAGCCAATGCAAAAAAACCCAAAATTTTACAATTGGACGAAGATACGGATATTAATAAAGAAAAAAAGAAACCAAAAACATTAAAGTCAACTAATAACAAAAAAAAAAATACAAAAAAAGAAATAATTATTTGTACCTGAGATTGTTTTTTTTAATAACTAAGTGTGTGAAAATTTTTAATTGATATAATATAAGATCTGTGCATTAAAAATGTCCAATAGTAATGTTAAAAATAAATATATTATTTATTAAAAGATCGGATTTAAATTTTAAATATTATTGGTTCAATTGACTTCAAGCAGTTGGTTCAATTGCCCCCGAGCGGGGGTCAATTGAACCATTCGTCGCGTTTGCATGAATTAATAGTTAATAACAATTCACGTTGTTTATTGACTAATTCATGTATTGATAATGATAATAGACATAATAAACTATCATTACAAGAAAAATAAAATCTGGAAAACCATTGACCCTAAAGGCCATCCCTGCAACTTCCCGCCAATTCCATACCTAAACGCTTGAGATTGCACTTATGACGTTTCTGAGCTCTTCGAGCTCAAAAATACAATTTGTGTGTTATTTCGAGCTCTCCGAGCTCAAAGAAATAGCTTTTGTCGAGCTCAAAAGGTTGATAGAAGTTTAATAAAACACAGTGAGGTAAAAGTCCCTATTATGAGACGATGTCCCCATTTATGATACACTACATAAAAATACTATTTTATAAAAAAAAAAACACACCGCTAGCATACCAAAAGTATAATAAATATATTATTTCATCTATTCCAAAAGCAATTTTCGACTTTGGTTGTTAATTAATTCCATACTGTTTTTTAAGAATATTTATTAAAGTGCGAGGTTTGTTATCTGTGCTCAAAGCCACGACCGAGAATAGTAAAACGACAACGGCTACCTAGTTTTTTATATTAGTGTAATTTCATTGTGTCTTTTACTTTTATATTAAATTGTATATCAATTGAAAGCTGATGAGTAATAGACTTTATTTGTATACACATTTATGCGTTTTTTTTTTTATTACAATATTTTAAATCTGAGTGTCTCACAATACCTACACTTATTTACGTGAATGCCCCGGTTTATGAGACACTTTTCTCGGTATATCGTGTAATATGGACATATGTTTTTCGGCTTGTCCCGATTAAGTGAGACAGTGTACATTTATAAGATTTTATATTGCTAATATGTGATATTAATTATAAAAATAGTGTAATTATATGTTATAAAATATTGGCTACTATTAAACCTCAAATATTTTTCTAAAAGTAAGTATTTTAAGTCAAATAGTTTTAGATCATGAGCCTAACCTCAAATCATAACATAGAATAACTTTGTCAACAAGTTTTTCTGTTTTTTAATTAAATCTTTTGGATAAATTTATAATATTTTTTTGTATATTGATTCTGAAAATATATTATTTATTTCTTATTATTTCAGAGTAAGTAAAAAGTAAATTATAAAAAAAAGCTGAGATAATGAAGCATAAACAAAATTCCAAAGTGACAAAAACTCAATCATCAAATTCAACCAAAAAAAAAAAGTGTTGTGTTCCAATATGAATAATAAAATGAAGGAAAAAAAATTAAAAGGATTAAGTAATTATAATTCGTGAAATATAACAAAAGCTCTAAAAGCAATGGAAGACACAGAGTTGTCCTTGAGAAAAGCAGCTGCTGTTTATGGAGTACCGATTGTTACCCTTGCTAAATGAAAAAGTATTAGTCCTGAGAAGGCAAAAATTAGAACTGGGCCGGTGACAGTGTTATCTTTAAAAGAAGAGGATGTTATTGTTCAGTGGGTGTTGTACAGAGCAGTAATAGGGTCACATGTGACAAAAACTGAATTATTGAAGACGTATAACAATCCGTTACTGTCTTGGACAATCATTTTAATGTGATAAACTGTGAACAAAATAATTTAATTAATGATGAACAATTTTTTACGGTTATATATGAATCTAATCAAGTTAGTCTTCAAGAATCATCAATTGATGGCAATAACGTAATACTGTGCACTTCTAAAGACTTCAGTGAAGACAACGTAATTGATCAAACTATCTCTACTGATGATACAAATTTAGATATATCTGCAAAACCCAGAGTGATTATAACAGAGCTCACAAATATTCATTCTACAAATCTTATAAACAACAAAGTTTATCAATTAGGTATGTAAATGTCAATCTCACATTCATGTTCAATAAATTTAACTTAATGTGACTTTTTTTCAGAACTTATAAAAGAAAATTCAGATCCAGAAAAAACATGAAAGAAGAAAAGTTTAACAATAAAAAAATATTACAAGAAGAAAAAAAATTAATGGCTCAAGTCAAGGAATGACAAAAAAATCAAGAACGAACAATAGATTTAATTCAATAATTTGCGTTGATTAATTGTTTAACTGATAAAAAATTTTTTATAAGTTAATTAAAAATTAAAGTAATTCCTTCTTTTGTAAATACGATTGTCTAAAATTGATAAATATATCAAATTTGATCAACTTTGCTGATTTTTTAACTGTCTCAAAAATAGGGTCCTGTGGTTTGAGACACTGGGGACATGTGACTTTAAAGTGTCTCATAAATAGGGTCATGTAGGTTCCCCAAAAAAACCATAATTTAATTAATTTTTGACCAAAAAAACTATAAAAACAATATGAATATTGATTTAATGATCATCAAATTATCGTATAATGCGATTAAAAGTGTATTTTTTTCTTAAATGGATTAATTACTCGCAGGAATGTTCAACCTACCTTGAAAAGTGTCTCATAATAGGGACTTTTACCTTACCACAGTCCATTTTCTCTTTTTCAGTCCATTTAATCTTTCGACGAATACCAAGGTCAAGTTCAAAGATGAGCTCAATAAGTCAAGTAGTGCAGAAACTGTAGGGTTTCAAAATTTTCAAAATCATAAAAATTCATATTTTGGCAGTTTCTTTCGCGGATAACTTTTTAATGAAATAACTTATCGAATTTTTACAAATTGCATTTTAAAGCCCATTAAACGAGCTTTAATTTTCATGTCATTTTATTCTCCTTAATTGAAAATAAACTATTCGTCTGAAGATATTTGATGAAATTTTACTATTGCATTCGTTTTAACTTAGAGAGAAGGGATTTCATTAATGTGATTGAAGTATTTTCAGTATAGGTGTTGTGATTTTATTTAAGTAGGAAATCTACTTCCATTTCGGCTGCCGAATGGCACTCTTTTTTTTTTACCATAAATGTTTCTTGCTTGAAACAATTAAATATTTATATCTTTAATATCTTTAAGCTTATTTAACTTACTAATAAATATATTTTCGAGCACTTAGAGATAAAAAAATCGCTGGAAATTTCAGAAATCGCCAGCAGAATCAACCGTTTTCTAGATTTTTCTGTGTTATATTTGGTAGCTGTTTGCAGCGCACTAAATTTTCCAAGTTGAAAATATCCACTTCATTTGTTGGTAGTTAAAAATATTATTTCAGGGCTTAAGCTACATGGGCTTACCACATCTGTTCCATATATTTGTGACAACATTTCTACTTCCCAATAATGATGTCTTCCTTTCGATAGTATTTTATCCCCCCTAACAGCAACTGTTCCATCACTATACCCAGGGTGAAACTTCACCTCCAAATTGTTTTGAGATAATAAAGACTTTCTTGATGTTAATCTTTCATCCCATGCCCATTCGTACACTGTAAAAAATAATATTTTATTATTATTTTATTTCTGTTTATTTATTTCATTAAATTTTTTTCTCACTTTTTAATGTTTGCACAAAACTTGACAGCAATAATAAAACCTGGCAATATTTGTGAGATAAAGTGATAATGATATGATGAAAAATAATATACACATACAAAGTGCTTATACACACTTACAGATTAAGCCCAGGTGTGAGCGTATTGGAATCGTGCAAGTAGACTATAACGCTAACTATTGACAAAAATCTGTACTCTGCGGATAAAATTACATTTGATTTATTTTTAACCAGTAAGTAATTTAGTAATTTCCGTTCAAAGTTCAAAGCATCAGAGCATCATCTCCAGAATCTCCAGAGTTTAATTTGATGCTAACGTCGAAAAAAATCACGTTGTTACTTATCTAAAACCATAAATAGAAACTTCAGCATTTATGAATTATATGAATTTATGATTTGTAAGTTGTAAGGGCCAGTTTTTCAATTCGAGATAAAATTTTATCCGAGATGAAAGTACTGCCAATATTATGATAATAAAAATAAATAATTCAGCACGAGTAGTTCTCCCTGAATTCAGTCACTTATTTTTAATTAAAATAAATAAATATTAGCCGTATGCCACAGAAATATTTAATCTCCAACTGTGACAACTTGCTGATTATAAATAAATAAAATAAAAATTATGAAAAACGGATGACCCTGAAGGCCATCCCAGCAACTTTCCGCTAATTCCATATATAAGCGCTTGACATTGCGCTTGTAACATTATCGAGCTCCAAATTACAATTTATGTGTTATTTTGAGCTCTCCGAGCTCAAAGCGGTCACTGTTCTATGCTTTTGAGCTCTTCGAGCTCATATCTTGCGTTTAATATATCTATTATTAATCTATAATTAAGGAATTGATTTTTAAAAGGGTATCTTTTCATATTTTAAAAGAGGAGTTTTTTGAACTTTTAAATATTAATTACTTTGAGAATTATAAATATTTCTAAATGAAAATCGAATTGTAGCTTCATAACCGATAGCACTTTATAGTTAAATTAAAAAAGTTCAATAAAAATATTTATAATTGAAGATATTCAGTTTTTTATCTCGATTAAACAAAAATGAAAAGATACCCTTTTGATATATTTATTTTTTATTTAAATAAATGACCAAATTCACGTCGTTAAATTATTTTTTTTTTTTTTTTTTTTTTTTTTTTTTTATTATATTGACAGTACTTTTATCTCGGATAAAATTTTATCCCGGATTGAAAAATTGGCCCTAAGTGTAGATGCACTCTAATCTGTTTATTTTGAATTTCTTTTGTCACTTAATTATAAATAAATTCATGCGTTAGCCCCCGATTTCATGGGCGTTAAGCTAAGATACTTACAGATCAAAATTAATAGTATTTTTTATTCCTTTATTTGAATCGATTTATTTGTGACAAATTACAATTATAAAAATTTTAAAGGTATGTGAAGTTTATTTTCTAGATAATTACTTTACCGGTTAGTTGACCATATAACTTATCGGAAAATAACCGAATAATTGTTTACTGAAAATTACAACATAAGTTAAATAAGTTAACGTTGAATTAAATTATTTACAGTTGAGGGAGTGAGGTATTTGACACCGAGTTTATGTACAGTTATCGACCTTTAGATGTCATCGTTGCCTATAAGACGTTGACTTACACGTCTTCGAAAACTTTGTTGAACCAGGCGATAAGGCAGGAATTAAATTTCTGAGGATGTGTTTCTTAAAAGACATAATAAAGGAGATGGTAGATTGTAAAAGTAAGAGCTAAAAATATTTGCGGTTTGTTACAAAAGTTTTTTTATTACGTATTTTTTTGTGATTGGTGAATTAAGGTTTAAGAACCCGGCTGAGTCTTTAGGACTTGGGGCAGGTGGGTCGTCAAAAATTTCTCTTCAAACAAGCTCTTGAGTTGACAAATACACGTATACGTAAAGCACTTGGCATTCAATTGAAGTAATTTTTTTTTTTTAATTTTTGACATTCTGTTTTGTTGAATATTTCGTTTTTTCTAAATAAACATTTTTTTATTTTCATGAAAAAAAAAGTTAAGTGATATGACGAGATATTGAAAAAAATATATAAGTAACAGTTGTTTTCATCATCGTTTAGTGATCATAATTGTGACACTATGAAATCAGTTGATGATTCGAAGTAAAAATAAATATCACTGACATGGGGGAATGGACTCAAAATATTGGAAATATATCTCAACGTAAAAGCGTTGGGAATAAATATTCTTTAAAGATCATAAAAAAAATAAAACTAACTGTTACGTAAAGTGATTAAAAATCGAAGAAAAATAGTAAGTAAGGACCATGGCATCAGCATTCAGCCCAGCTGAAGACCTTATGAATAAAGGAAAACGTGGAGCTGCTGCATACATTCGTGATCAATATTGTAATCCAATCTCAAGTGATGCTAGACAACAGCAAATAAATGAGTTATTAGATACTTTACTAAGTCCAGGGAAAGCTATTGATGATTGGGAAACTATTGATTGGTGTAAATGGCTTATGGCCGGAGGGAGGACTCCAGATGAATTTTCAAATACAGGTAAAAAATTTTAGATATAATTTTTTTTATATGAGCTAATAATTTTTGACTTCTCATATATTTAATTCTTAGATGTGATTACAAGTACTGTATGCTTGACAAAACGGTGTAATAGTAAAACATTGTTTTTTTACCCACTGTATCGTCAAGTAAAATATATCGTACCTATAGTCACTTGCTTAATTTTACAAGCCATTCAAAACTCATAATATAACGTAAAAATTAAGTTTAACTATTATATCTATAGTTAATTGTACTGTCATCAGTAATAATTAATTAATTATTTGCAGTAAGATTATATGATAATGCAACTACCTGTGGATTGGTTTGGACTCCAAACTTTGTAGCATACAGGTGTCGTACTTGTGGCATATCACCTTGTATGGCATTGTGTCAAGAGTGTTTTAAAAAAGGAAACCACTATCGTCATGACTTTAATATGTTTCTTAGTCAAGCTGGAGGCGCATGTGATTGCGGTGATACATCTGTAATGAAAGAAATAGGATTTTGTGATCGTCATGGGCCAAAAGCAGCGGTTGATAAATCTCCAGCACCATTAGATCTCATGTGTGTCGCAGAGGCAATGATGCCTCGTATGATTTTACGGCTTATACATCATCTTCGAGACAATTGCAAAGTTAGTGCTCCAGATTTCAGAGTTGCAATTCAGGATGCTGATGCTTATTTGACAATGCTCCTTGACCTTAATCATATGGGTGCTTTGATGCGTCATGTAATGACTTCAGCGTTAACAAGTCCTCAAAAATACCGAGGACTCATGGATCCTGCTAATTCTTCAGGAATGACAGAGTATGATCGATATTGTCAAGAAAGTCATGGTATATATCAAGATGCAATTAAATCTCTACCAAATCCAGAACCGCCTGATGAATATAAAGATTGTCCTTCTCTTCAAGAAGACTTAGTCCATACAACTTTTCTTGAAGAGTTGATGTTCTGGACGGTTGCTTATGAGTTTCCACAAAAGCTTGTTTGTCTTTTACTCAATATGTTGCCAGATCCTGACTATAAAGAAGCCCTCACAAGAGCGTTTGTTCTTCATTATAGTAGAATTGCAATGATGTTAGAACGCTCAAATGATCCAGATACACTTAGTAATCGAGTTGTCCATGTAAGTGTTCAATTGTTTAGCAATGAACGTTTAGCATTACGTATGGTAAATCAACTCAAATTACTACATGTTATGGTTATAAGTCTGAAATATATGATGAGTAAAATTCTTGTCGAAAATACATTACACACGCCAAACAAAAATTTTCATTTTGTTGTCGATTGTGGTCGTCCAGTGATGAAAGAGCATTGCTATTGGCCTCTTGTATCAGATCTCAATAATGTATTATCTCACAAACCTGTAGCTGTTCAGTTTTTAAGTGATGACACACTATTAGAAATGTGGTTTGATTTTTTATCCATGTTCCAAGGTATGAATGTTAATCAACGTGAAATGGGTGCTCACGTGGAATTTGAACCAACTACATATTATGCTGCTTTTAGCGCTGAACTTGAAGCCAGTGCTTATCCAATGTGGGCTTTAGTTTCACATCTTCGTGGCCCTGAGAGTATATCTGTAAGTCGACGTGCTTTATCATTTTGTCTTACAGCACTTCAAGATTGGTTGGACGCTATTGGTTTTACGAGTCCTGATGTTTGTGATGCATTACATGTATCGTTTCATATTCCTTTGCATCGTTACTTTGCAGTTTTCATGTGTGAAGTTGTACGACAACAAGGAGTAACCCTTCAAGAACTTTTACCACCAACAGATATGCTTCATCTACTGATGATGCATCCATTACGAGTTCAAGTAGCTTTATATGAAATTCTCAACGGTCTTTGGGTTCGTAATGGGCTACAGATTAAAGGCCAAGCAATGACATATATTCAATGTAACTTTTGTAACTCAATGGTTGATGCTGATCTTTACCTATTACAAATTTGTGCAATGAAGCTTCAGCCTGATATTTTCTTAAATACAGTTATTGATAAATTTCATATCAAAGAATGGCTTAGTTTGTGTACTGTTAGGTCACGGCAAAATATTCTTCTGATTGGTGAACATGATACAGCCATGATGGAAAGTTGTCTTATATTTTTGGCCACATTGATAAGTGTAAGAACAAATCTTGGATTGACAGATTCAGAAGTTTCTCATTTAGAAATGGTAACTTTGTTGTGCATGGGTGATAAAACACATAGCCAACTGATGGATCTTATGCCAGAACGATGTGGCACAACTCCTAATCGCGATTTCGAACCAGTCCTTGCAGAAGTTGCACAATACAAAGCCCCAAATCTTGAAGCGAGTGGTACAATGCAACAAGGCATGTATGGTCCTAAACCTAAAGTCTGGGAGGAACTTTATGATCCTCTTTATGTTTTATTACGTGCAG